AAGTAACCCAAATCAACATCCATAAGAATAACGTCTATGCTGCCAAGATCGACAACAAGTGAGATTTGAGTGGCACCTCTGATTATACTTCCACAACCTTCTGGGCAACTAAATCATTGTTTCTTTTTTTTTTTTCACTCTCCCTTTGTCTTTTCACCTCTCTCTTTATTTATAGTTGGCATCGTGTTTTGGTAAAGGGCGTCTTAACCAATGGCTTGGTCTCTGTGTATGAGTTGGATTATGGGAAGTACGAGTTGATCAACTATTCCCAGCTCCAACCTCTCATTGATGAGTTCAGGCAGCTGCCGTTCCAGGGAATTTCTGCTCAGCTGGCTGGTAAGAGAGAAGCTGCAGCCAAATGGAGTTAAAACAAATGGTTTAATCCTGATTATTTGTCATCCTTTTACTAATATTTGATATACATCTTTGTCTGAAAGGGTTATTTGTCTTTTAGAATATCCATATATTTCAGCAAATTGCCTATCGTTGGCAAGAAAAAAAAAAGTTGATGAAAAATGTTTAAAGGAAGTAAAGCCTTTTTTTTTTTACTAAAAAAACACAAGGAATAATATTTTACTTTATATATACACCAGTAGAACACATTAAAAATAACAAATAGTAATATTTCATGGAATTTTTTTTTTTTACTTGCTAATACCACACAGGGACTTCCGTGAACAGTTTTCCGTGATTGCGCAAACAAATTGAAGAATCAGTGATTCTGAACCAATTAAATGTAAGTGTTTTTATTTTAAACTAATCATGACAATAGTTTGCTTGCATAGTCTCGTATGTTTAACAACCAAATAAAAATGTAAAAAAAAAAATTAATGATACTGAGTAGAGGTCTGCAAGTCCATTCGGGCTGGGCTCGGGCGATTGTTATTTTTTTTTTTTTTTTTTTTAAAAGCTCGGGGGGGACTCGGGCTCATTTTTCTTTTAAAGCTGCATCTTGAAATGGCAGGTTGTTGGACATTTTATTTTCGTTTTCTATCTTTACACACTCTTCTCGTGTAAATGTGTTGGGGTCGGGGGATTGTTTTTTTTTTTTTTTTTTTTTTTTAACAGCTCGGGTGGGACTCGGGCTCATTTTGCTTTTCTCCTTTTATTGTGCCCATATACGCACAGAGCACACACAGGCTACTGTATGAAATATTATTATATTGATTATATTATAAATCTTATACATCGCCTTGTAGGCAATACGCAACGCATATACGCACGCATTAGCATACAGGTGACAATTGACCATGCAGAGCATCAGGGAGAAGTTGGAGCGTGGGGAGTTACTAAAAGTTGCATTTTGGATCATCCATGCATTTGATGATGATCCTGACTCACCATCTCCTCATTAGATGCGCCTTTAGAGAGAAATGCATCTTTAGGAATTTTATAATGAAAGAGTTTTTGTTTTCGATTTGAATTATTTGGTTTTAAAGTAGTAATTCAAAGTTGGCGCCTCCATGTCCTGTAAAGAATTCTGATAAGCTGTCAGACAAGGGTCGGGCTAGGGCCTGAGCGTCTCGTCTAGGGCCTAGATTTTAGGCCTTGCGGGGCTCTAATACTGAGTCGGTTTTATGTATGTCAACAAAGTATCAAATATATTGTAAATATTTCATGTATCACCCAGCCCTATTGCAAAATTCCTCAAAACTGATCAGTATCTGTCTGATTTGCATGTGAAATGTTTGTTTTCAGGTGTCAAGCAAGGGGTCTGGGCTGAGGAATCTTCTATGGTGTTCCGGAACCATGTTGAGAAGAAGCCGCTGGTAGCTCAGATCGAGTCCGTTGAGGAGGGGGATTGGCCCTGGGAGCGTAAAATCTCTGTCTACCTAGTAGACACCACACAGGAGGACAATGACATCTGGATCCACAACATTGTGGTGGAGTTTTTAGATGAGATCAACAGAGCAGCTTGAGACTGTCACCACTTCCCTTTCCAAGAACCATGCTGAAACTTTGAGTCTGAAGAAATCTAGAATTCAAGAGCATTGACTCTAGATGTGTTTGGTGGGTCATTTTATTCATGCATGGTCAAGAATTGTTTCAGTTATCGTTCTGAGTGCCATGGAAAATTGATTTCTTTACCTGTTTTTGCCGTTATACTAATAATATGCCATTCCCAAAATTAACTCGTTAATACCTGAACAACCTTCCTTTCTGTGTCTTTACAATAGGGCCATTTGTCTAAGTAATTTGATTTTTATGTGTGTATTGTGTGAGACACCACTGCGTGTATTGTTTATACTCTTATTGATTTTTGCACTGGTTTGTTTGCAATCTTATTGTGTGTTTTCTAAACCGAGAATGGCCTAATTGTAATAAAACATTTGTGTTCAGATGCTCAGGTTTGTTTTATTTCCAATTTGACAATTGGTTCGGAGAATTAAAAAAGTCAACAACAAGACACACTTGGGTGACTGTCATTTGTCTTTGCAGCTTGATATCGGTAAAAATGTAGCTTTGAGTTGTGGGACCCATTCAATCCTCTGATTGGTGGGCTTGAGGTTTGGCGTCATTTGATTGGCAGGTCCGCACGGTGGGCGGGCCCATGTTCTGCGCTACTCCGGGTTTGTGGAAACTCTTTGATCGCCACCGACCACTGGACTTGGTGAAAGAATGCTGTAGCAGTAACTGCTTTTAATATTTGGATTTTCTCCGCCGTGTCAAGCGCTGTTCTTCTGTGACACTTGGACTTGAGCATACATTGCTTGAGGCAGCAGCACATTTGTGTAAATTAGCGGCTCCGAAAAGAAACCATATCTGGTCAAAGTATTCAGCTGTCACATGCGCTATATATAGTGTGGGATAAGCGCTGTCTGAGGTAAGTGAGAAAGATAGGCGCTCCGGTACTAACGCTTTGTTTTCCTCATCATTGCACTGATGAAGCTCGGAGAAAATAAGCTATATTTGAGCTATAATTAATTGTCTTGAGGTTGTGAATGTATGATGTATATATTTTCCGTTTTATCTTTATTTTACTAATGTTAACATAATAGTTATGTATCTGGTCTCTCCTAGTCAGAATCAACACACTTTTATTCAAGAATCATTCATTGCACTTTTATTAACTAGTGAACAAGTAATTTGTGTGAGGAACTAGAAATTTGTATATAATAACTAGTTTATTGATTCAGGAAACCTGAACTAGAGGCTCCAAGTCAAGGCAGTGTGTTAATAATAAATTTGCATTATATAGTATGTTGGGGTTTGCTGGTCATTGTCCTTGTCTATTGGGTTCATCAAGGACAATGGAGACAGATGCCAGCCGTCAGTTTGACAAGTTTTCTTTTCGTGTAGATGTAGGCCTATTATAATAAATTACTCTGTTCATCTAATGTGTAAGACCGTACTGTATACGTTTCTTTAAATATATATTTAGCATGTATTTTACAGAAAGCAAGCATAAGTCCAGTTTTCAAACAAAACATTTGGGAAAGAGACATTCAAAAGGTTTTAAATAGTAAAGCATAGACCGATGTAAACACAGTATATTTGTGCTTTATCTGGTTGTTAAAAGTTAGCAGTTAATGTGATGAAGTACACCTGCACTACTCTGCTCTCCATAACCCATATGCTTTCAATTTGGCCAGAATAATCCACTGAAATACTGTGGAAAATCATAGACTGGACATATTGATCATCATAATTATTCAGCATCAAATCCATTGAACCTTGTATTTAGAATAGACCTAATAATGAATCTGTTTCTCTTGTCTTTACCAAGATCTTGAGCTGGGGGGAATAACATCTTATTCACCATGTTCTGTAAAGAGATGGATAAGTACCGGAATGTGGATGAGGATGAGCTCTTGCAGAAGCTCAGTGAAGAAGAGCTCAGGAGACTAGAAGATGAACTCGAAGAGCTTGATCCTGATGTAAGTGCACTTAAAACAAATCTAAAATTGGGCTTTAAGAGCTCCATAAAATGAAACGCGATTAATAAATGTGCTCACACAGTTCATTTGTCTCGGAATACTTTACAATATGAAAGGTTAAAAAAAACTTTGAACAAAACCTGATCTGTTTCTGATCTGTAAATATGGTATTTAGACTATAAGATGTGTGAACGTTTTTAAGGGAGACCTATTGTATGCCCTGTGTTTAGTAGCGGGGTTAGTTTCATCAGGCTGTTGTTTTAGTTTTGTTTGACTGAACTGCATTATTTTACACATAGTGGTGTTTGTGTGTCTTTGTTGCTACCAAGTCTGATTGTTTGTGATGTTTGTTTGACTGGACTCTGGACTGTGTATTTTTAATGCGTCTGGTTTGTTTATGTGGACTGCTTGTCTGGACTGTGTCGTTTCTGAGTGGTGTTTGTTTGTCTGGACTGTTGCTACCTAGTCTGGTTTGTTTGTCTGGCCTTTGTTGTTCCCTAGTGTGAATTTTTTCGTCTGGACTGTTATTTCCCAATGTTTGGTGTTTGACTTTACTGTGTTTTTATGTATAATGTGTTGTTTGTCTTTACTGTGTAGTGACATAATGGTGTTTGTTTGACTGGATTGTTTTATTTTGGACTGTGTGCCATTTTTGTTTAAGAAGCCCACTTAATTCCTGTGTTTACTGTTTGTTTGGACTATATTGTTTCATAGTCATGTTTGCTTGGCTGGACTGTGTTTTTTTTAGTATAATGTTTATGTAATTTTTTCTTTTCATCCTGAGTTATAAACATTGCCACTACACTGTCATTTCCAGCTTTGCGTTTTACATTTTATTAACGGAAATTAAAGAGCTCTTTTATGAAACCTAAATACAAACAGTTTCTATTTGACACTTTTTGCATAATGCAGTGAAATTACACATAGGCATTGGAAATGATGCACATGAAGTGATATTAACTTTTTAGATTTATTCACATATCACATCTCATTAAACAAGAACACTCACATTTAATGAATTGTTTTAGAGGCAAAATTTGATGTTGAAATGGTGCCGCATATGTAGGATTTTTTCCTTCTCTCTCCATCTCTGTATGTGTGTAAATGTGCGTATGTAGGACAAGTGTGGATGCCTAAGACCAAAGTTGTTGACCCTATCCTGGAAGATGTCACTCTGGAGCCTGAACTAGAGGAGGCGCTTTCTAGTGCTACTGACGCAGAATTGTGCGATATAGCAGGTACAATACAAATGTTAGCAGTTTAATTCATGTAACACCATTCCAAAACACAATTTTATAAATGTTATTTTAAAATATGAATGTATTAGGATGTAGTTCAATTCAGCACCTTCTGTTCGTTAATTTTAGTATGAATTAGGGCTGCACGATTAATCGCAAGCGATATTTAACGCGCATCTTATCAGTAAAGCCGGTTCTTTAATCAGCGGTAAATCTCCCATCACCTGCGTGCTTTCACATGGAGCAGCATTAACTACACAGAGCCGTTGTTCACTGACGAGCTGCGCCAAACCACGTTCATATTCGCGCGATTTTTAGCGCAGCTCGTCAGTGAACAACGGCTCTGTGTAGTTAATGCTGCTCCATGTGAAAGCATGCAGGTGATGAAGATTTACCGCTGATTACAGAACCGGCTTTCTGACAAGATGCACGTTAAATATCGCATGCGATTAATCGTGCAGCCCTAGTATGAATGCATATTCAAATGAGTGAATCCACCTGTGATTTCATTGACTAATTCCCCCTTCCTGTGTGTATCTCACCGTGTGCCTCTCTCTGGTCTGTCTTTTAGCTTTCTCCACTCCATTTTTACATCTTCATTGCTCATTTTCTCTGTCCACTCCCCTGCTCCATCGTTTCTAAGCCACGGATCATTCCAGTAGGTTTATTTGTAACATTGTATGCTGCTCTAACATTTCCAGAAAACTTCTTAAACATTAGTTCAGTATTTGAATGGCATGTTCAGCATATTATGTTGTCTGCATGATGATTTAAGTGTTATTTCAGGGTTACTAAAAATGAAAATTCTGTCATTTACTTCCATGTTGCTTCCAAACTTGTTTGACTATCTTTCCTCTTTTGAGACACCACAAAGAGCAGCAGCATTCTTCAAAATTGTTTTGTGTTTCATAGGGGGAAAAAAACTAAATCATACAGGTATGGAACAACAGGGTAAATAATTCATTTTTGTTTTTAGGTCAACTGGCGTGCAACTGTGCACATGTCAATTCTTGAAACTGCGTGTGCGAGTCTGAGCTCTTTTTCTTTCATAACAATGATGACTCATCCATGTGCGCTAAAGACACATGGCTACCAAAAAAGGGGAACAAAGTTTTTCCTACTGGCTAAAAAAAACCCTCTCAACTGTCAGACACTAACTTGCTCTCATTTAGCATGATGGAGAGGTTTCGTTTAAAATGAGGTCAATTTTGTATTTTTTTTATTTGGGATCATGTTTCAAAGACAGCAGGATTCAAGGAGTTGACTTAGTCTGAACAGCTTATATGCACAGACAGATTGGAGCTTCATATGGGAATGAGGTTAGTTCAGTTGTCTTTGGCCCAGGGTCAACAATCAGATGCAGTATACATGCCAGACTCATAAATTGCACTTTCCTCTTGACTCCCTATTCAGATGTTTTGCTATACAATTTTGTTTTTTATTCTGCACTAGTTCATCTGATGGCATTACTGTTCTGCTTGAGATATTTTTCGTCAGGTAAATGTGAATGATGTTGAGTTGGTATCTTGGAAAACATGATTTTACGTGTGATTTACATGTATATGTTGTACATTTTTTAAAACTTGACTAACATAAAATGCTTTTTTGACGTGCTTTTTTCCCCTCTTTCTAAATTTGAAAAGCCATTTTGGGCATGCACACACTGATGAGTAATCAGCAGTATTACGAAGCACTGGCCAGCAGTACTATCGTCAACAAACAGGGCTTGAACAGTAAGTGAATATTCAGTTGTCCTGTAATGTGTTTGTTTGATTTTATGCTTTATATTTGTCTGAATAATTATTTATGATCGAATTATAGATTACACTTAAAGGAATAGTTTACTGAAAAAAGAAAATCTGCTGAAAATGTACTCACATTCTGGCCATCCAAGATGTAGATGAGTTTGTTTCTTCATCCAGACAAAAATGGATCCTCTCCAGTGAATGGGTGCCGTCTTAATGAAAGTTCAAACAGCTGATACAAGCATCACAATATGACAGTACAAGTTACTATACAAGTAATACAAATGACCATAAAGACATTTTTTACTTCAAACTTATGCTTTTGACAAAAAATACGAGTCCTCTATCTATATTGCTGTTTCCAGTGGAAAAGGTTGTTTTGTCTGAATCAGGAGAGAAATATTCTCAGATCAAGCACCGTTTACAAGTGAAAATATTTTGGTGGATTTTCACATGAGAGTACAACAGGGGATGGACTTTTTGACTAGATGAAGCATTGTTATTGTTTATGGACTGGTATTTTGGCCAGAAGTGACAGTTGAAGTTAAAATGCCTTAATGTTCGATTTGTTTTGTTTTTTTACAAACATGAGCTTTTTGCTTCAAAAGATGTTAATTTATGGACTGGAGTCATATGGATTACTTGTGGATTATTGTGATGTTTTTATCAGCTGTTTGGACTCTCATTCTGACGGCACCCATTCACTGGAGAGGATTCATTGGTGAGCAAGTGATATAATGCTAAATTTCTCCAAATCTGTTCAGATAAAAAAAAAAAAACTCATCTACATCTTGGGTGGCCTGAGGGTGAGCATTTTTGAGTGAACTATTCATTTAAACATGCCTGAATGTCAAACGCGTCTGCAGACAAATGATGCTAAACCTGCTATACTTAGTTTGAGCCATTATTGCAATTACTTTTAAACAGCTGGTCATTTAAAGGTGATTTAAAGTGTGTTTGAGCTATCGTTCTGTAAAAATGTATGCAATTAATTATCTAAAGCATTCCTGTAGCTTAAAGAGTAGAGCATGTCACTAGAATTGTCAAAATCATGGGTTCGATTCCCAGAAAAAAAAGGACATTCATGTAAAAATGTAAATAAATGTAATGCAATGCCATATACATTTGTTAGTGTAGCTTGGGATTGCTGTGAATAGATGTATACAGTGTAGAGTTTTACAATGTGATATAGTATTTTGTTATATATCTGGCACTGAATCATATAATTTGTGGTAATTGAGAGTTGTATAATATAAACAGGCGTAATCCAGTGTACTCGGTATAAGCCAGTGCCAGACGAACAGCCCAATGACACAGATGTAGAGGAAACACTACAGAGAATCAAGAGAAGAAGTTGTCACTTCTGATTCATTTATGGCAGCCTGACTGAATAAACGTATTAAAGGGAGTATATGTATTGCTGTTTTCATGCCATGTATGTATTTCCAGCACGTGTAGTTCGGTCGGACTCAGATGGCGCGATCACATTCACTCTGTCAGTCCCTGAGCTGGAAAGAGCCTTCTGTAAAAAGTTCAAGTTCACAACGAAACCCAAGTAAACAGAGTCTTGCCCTCCTCCTCTCCCTCTGGGCACTACCTGCTGTCTTTTCGCTCTCATTTTTGCCTCCTCGCAATCCCTCAAGCCTCTGGATCATTTTGAACTTTTGTACTGTTCCTCAAGCTTCCTTCTGCCACTTCAGCATCTTCACTACTGCATTTTTCTCTGTCAAAGTGAATTCAAAACCGGTCTCTCTCCGTTATCTGGTTGTTTCTCAGTTTGGCTGTCTAATGTTTTCTTCAGGTTTTAAGGTTTAGTCTTTACTTTCTTCTGCATTAAGAGAGTATTCTGATGCCAACTCTACTAAAATATTATAGAAAATGTCCTCCAGCTAGCTGTGCATGCAAAGCTTTTTGTTTAAAAAGGAGTAGTTCACCCAAAATGTTTACATAAATGTTTTTTAAACATATGACTTCCTTCTATGCAGTGCAAAATAAAAAAATTACCCGAATGTTTCAATGAAAGTGACTGAGCTACAAAAAGGGCAACAAGCACCATAAAAGTAGTCCATTTGACTTGTACTCTATATTACAAATCTTTTTTGAATCCTATAAAAACTACTCTTTGAAATGAGTGAACTATTCCTTTAATTGCAATTTTACGTTTCTATCTTTCTACAAATGCAGTAAGGATTGCCCAATGTCTAGCATAGAGGTTGTCTGAGAAAGTGTAAGAATGTCTTTTAAAAGTCCCCACCCCCAAAACACAAACTTTTAATGATCAAGTTATTTGTAGACTGTTATAATGAAAGCAGTTTCCTCAGTATTTCACATTTTTATGTCCTCAAAAGTGGTCAACTCTTTTTTGTTTTTGTGTGCAGTGAGAAAGAGAAGGCTTGAAGGAGGACCCATCTTTCCTAAATGTCGGACAAACGTGTAGCAGCATCAGAAACCCTCTATGGCCTGGGACCTGCATCACACCCAGTCTCATCCCACATCCTCTCATAATTTCTGTCCATTTCAGATAACTCACAAAATCATCTAAAGGAAACATTCAATTCAGAATGCTGGAAACCCAAAGGTACCACCCTCTGTTTATCAGACACATAGTTCCTCATGGTGGAGTGTTTTAAAAATGTGTAAACTACATAACATTAGCATGGAAAAATCACCTACTTGTGTTGATGGATCAGTAAAGATGAAAATGATGCTCAATTTATCACAATGTTCTCAGTTGACATAATCTTCACGTTGTAAACAGTTTAACCCTAAAGCCAGCAGTTTTGCAGTGTTTGGATGCACACCAAGAGCATCAAACTTGACTGATTGTAGCTGTGGTTTTGCCTTCTCCGGGCCAGTTTGAGTCTCACTGTAGTTCTCGCACACATCGCGTAGAAGCATGTACTGTGTTTTTTGGAATATACTATAATTTTGACCTGTTCTTCTGTTTAACAACTGGTAAATTACCTTAAATTTAGCTTTAAATAACTGGCAATACCTTTATTGGTCACCTGACAAGAGTATAAAATCTAAGCTCTGTGTATTTGCACCGCTCCAGTATATTTATGAAATTATTTATATATTTTATATTCTATGTTTGATGAGGGAAAATTCTCTTTTTCATGTTTAGGGCAAGCTGTGTTTAATTTAACCACTTATCATTAAATGATTGTGATTGGTGTGTATACAGTGTTCTCTACAGTCTTCCTCATTAAATGCTTTTTTACTTTTAAGTGAGAATCATAACACACAATAGAAAACGTATCATAAAACTATATGTGCTATTGCCTATGCCTGCTCTCATGAAGTCATTTCCAGATTATATTTCACCCAAAATCAAAAGAAATGATATATTAAGAAAATCAGAAAATTATTTTTAGTTTTAGGATTTTGTCTGATTTCTCATTACAGTAATATATATATATATATTATACATGTATATGTATGTATGTGTGTGTGTGTGTGTATATATATATATATATATATATATATATATCAGCTGTTTGAGATATAAAAAAATAACGCAAAAAGCGATCACTCAAAAATCTAGCTTTAGTGTCTTCACTTAAACCTGGGAAGTTCTTAAAGGAGCAATGGAAGAAGAACATCTGAAAAATAGTTTTCCATTTTTCTCCCTTCCCAGTAGGTTTTATTGTGTAGATGTTGATCTTTTAGCTCAGAAGCCTTGATCTACTGTGTCTTAGATGTTTCTCCTCAAATATGGAAGATTTTTGAAGGAACAACTGATAATGTCTAAACTGTTGCTCATAGCTCAGGACCCTTAAGAGATAGTTTAACTAAAAATTAGGGCTGTGCGATATTGAAGAAAAATGCAATATGCGATAACTCATTAAATAATGCGATATCCGATATAATGCTTAAAGTGCCACATGCTCAGATGAAACAGTTTTACTCAGCTGTTGCTGAGTCAGTTCTGTGAACTTCTATAACTATCTTGTGTCCTATATATATATATATGGTTATTTGAATGTAAACTCTTTTAAGAGTTCCTGTAAAACCACAACAAATGCCTTGTTTGCGCACACTTAAGTGGTGAATAAAGCTCATTCTGATTCTAATAAGAAAGCACCCCTACAACAACTTCTGAAAGTGAACGGTATGTGTTTTAATCGAGCATTACATAAAAATGTCATTTTAACATGAGTTTAGGAACTGAATAATAAAAAGGAAAAATAAAACACTGCTTAGTATTTCCTTTTTGAATTCAATCTGTACTGATTCTTATTTAAGCTACAAAAGTTATTTAGGTAAGAGCAGTGAGTGATTTTCTCTTTGTCTTTTGTTCATGGCCCCAAATATTGCAAGCTGTAGCGATATGCATATTGTGATATGTACATTTGTGATATTTCGATGTATTGCCCAGCCCTAATATATATACACATACACACATATATATATGTGTGTGTGTATATATATTCAGATATACAAATAGCATTAAATATATTATATAATGTGTTTTCCTCAAAAGAGGGATAAAAAGGAACAAAGTTTTGTTTAACAATTTATTGGAGTACAAAAACTACACTAGGTCTTTAATTATTTCAGATTCAAACTGTATTTTATAATGATATATATTGTTATAAACATATTATTGTGCTTATACAAGTAAAGTCTGTGTTAAATAATGTTTGCAGTTTTTCCTTCCTGAAAACATTAGGCTGTATCGTGATTTCAGGTTTTCATCCCCAAATTTAAGACCTTAAATGATTAAGATATGCTCCTAAATTCATTTTACAGTTTGCACACATCTATTTTTAGTTGCGAATGAAATGTCTGCACTGTTGAGCTCTTGTACAGGAATGTATACTTAAAATTGCACTGAATGCTTTTAACAATACAATTATTTTGCTAAAAATAATTTCTTTTTGATGTGCAGTGATTTAGCAGGGTGTGTGTGTGTGTTTCTCAGATATTTGTTGCCCGTGATCAGGCCTTACTCTCTTCACACTGTTCCAGCATAGTAAAAGTCAGTATGTTTTATGGCTGTAAACATTTTCCTACTGTTTAAAGGACTTTTGGGGTCGTCGTCTTGTTCAAAACCAAAAAGGGAAAATTCACTGTTGATTGTCTTGTCCTGTGTTTGGACGCAGGCCCATAATCATTGCCATAGAGTGCCTGGGCTGGTGCACACATTGTACATTTTGTTAGTGCACCTTGCTGTATGTGGTTTATTGAGTTAATAAAGACTGAAAAAGTTGTGTGGAAATGTTGCCCTCAGCAGAATCCTTTTAAACTGCATTAATAGCTTTGCATCAGGAATACTATTTAAATATTTATATGCAGAAGATTAAAATGTTTTAGAATGATCAACAGTGCCACTTTGTGGTCTGTTTTTTTTAATAGTGGCTGCGTAATACCAAGAATATGTAGACTTTAAATGTGTAACATAATTTGTGGCTTTGTACTTTCTTCAGAAGTTTAATCTAAAACGTATATAAATGTTTAACAGACACTATATACTAGAGGCTATGAAATTGCTGGTTAAATTCAGATTTTTAGTTTACTGCAGTGACAAATCAATTGTTAACATACAAGTATACACTACTGTTTATTACTGAATATTATTATTTTTTAAACATTCATGAATTTTATGCTCACCAAGGCTGTATTCATTTGTAGAAAAATACAGTAATGCTGTAAAATATCAATACAAATGAAAATAACTATTTTCTATTTTAAAATATTTAAGTTGAATAAATGTGATGGTAAAGCTGATTTTTTTTGTGGAATACATGATACATTCATTTTTCCAAGGATTTTTTTGATGAATAGAAAATGCTAAATGCACATACATTTTTGTAACATTATCAGTCTTCCAATTTTTTAATGTGGGAAAGTGAAATTACATGAGAATTTGTTTGATCAATTTAATAGATCATAGCTGAATGAAAGTATTATCTTATTTTCCAAAAAAAAAAAAAAAAACTATTACTGACCCCACACTTCTGAACAGTATTACTATCAACTTCAGTTCATAAAATCTGCAGGTATAATATTACACAACATAAATCATGTTAACTACACATTTTCTTTTAGAATATTGCAAATTCTGTTAATTGCTATTTTCTAGTATTGAAACACCAAAACTAGGTATGTGTGATTGGTTTATTACAATGCCATATACCCAACAGATCTTAAGACAAACATATCACTTTTTTTTTAAATCATCAGAGCCATTCATACACTCTTACGAATTTATTTCGTTTTACTGCAAGCCAAGCAAACAGAATACGTTATTATTGCTGAGAATGTTGTAGATCACAGACGAGAATTCCCCCTTGCTCTAGACCAGAGAAATTATAGTCCATCCCTGTGAAACTGAGTTTCAATCTAAAAATCAGAAATCTTCGTAAATTCAGAATCTGTTGTAAAGCACAAAAATGGTGCGAGAACACAGTCTCGACAACACTGTTAAACTGAATTGAGGCATTAAATGTTCCAGACTGATGAAACTACAGTGCAAGTGGGACAAGATTCACCAGAATGAACTAAATGGCGTAGTGACAAACGTACAAAGTTGTTGTCATTTAGCTTACAGCGTGGGAGAATGTTATTGCCTCCTTTATCTGATTGCAATCTCTGCAGTGACAAAAACAAGATGTCAGTGAGCACACAAACACTATGGACACATGCAAGACCAGAATGTCTTTAACCAAGTACTTTTTCCTCATATTGAACGCTAAATGAACGTGGAAAACCTTATCGATTGGTGATACAAAACAGTGGAATAGACACTCGGAACAATTCATGCATATATATTGCTGTTTACGTATTGAATAAGAAATAACAGCCGAAGAGATGATGTGATTCAGGTTTCCCTGTAAAGATAAAATATGGCTTATATTCTGATAATTATACCCTCTTGCTTGATTGATTGATCTGTCACTAATATCTAAAGCTCCTTGCAAATTGAAATATGTGAAAGGTAAATGTAGTAGGTGTTTTGTCTAGTGTGCTCTCTTCTCGCCGAAGTCAGTACACGTTAAAATAATATCTAAAGCTGCGTGTGCTTGAGATTATTTAGGGAATTACTTCTTCAACATGTCCTGCAGCGGGCCCGGTAGATACTTCATCATCGTGTCCATGATGTTTTCCTCCTCCTCGTCATCTCCGCAGCCGGATGGTACTGCTTTCTTTGGACGGGTCAGACTGCCTTCGCTCGCCTGCTCCATCGCCGCCTGCGCCTCTGCTTCGGCCACCTCGCGCTTCTTAATGCCATACTGATGCACAAACATAGAGATGTTACAAAGCTGACATTAAAAAGGTTGTATCAATAAAAAATGCTTAAATGCTTAAAGCCAAAAACATTTTTCACCCAAAAATGAAAATTCTGTCATTACTCACCCTCATATCCTTCCAAAAACCTTAATTCATCTTCAGAACACAAATGGAAGATATTTTTGATGAAATCCGAGATCTTTTTGACCCTCCATAGAGAGCAACGCAACTACCACGTTCAAGAAAGGTAGTAAGGACATTGTTAAAGGGGTCATAGGTTGCCCATTTTCCACAAGTTGATATGATTCTTTAGGGTCTTAATGAAAAGTCTGTAACATAGTTTGGTTAAAATTTCTCAATGGTAGTGTAAAAAACACCTTTTTTACCCTGTCAAAAACAGCTCTTTTCAGATCAAGCTGTTTTTGTAGCATTTTCCTTTAAATGTTAATGAGCTCTGCTGACCCCGCCCCTCTCTTCCGAGCTGCTCACAGAGAGACTGTTTACTTTAGCCGCATTCATCGTGAAACTTGCTAATTAGCACATTATTAGGAAAGGCGATATGCAAAGATTCATTACAAAACATTATACTCACTTCTGTAGATGAGGCTGGATCATGAATCATTCGCGCGAACATAGAGGCATTTATGTAGATCGGGGGCGCATTTCCTTCAGAAACAAATGTAATCCACTGCGAGTTCAGCGGCTCAGATGTCGGGAGTAAATGACGACTGCTGTTCATTATTACATCCAACAACAGAACACCTCAATCACTTAGGAGTCATTCTTGTCTACATCTGCTCCAGTGGTGAAACAATGGCGGACTGATGACAGCTCACTCAGGGCGGGTCTAAGGTAAGACACCAGTCCAGTCTGTGCTGAAACGCTACTGTCAATCAAACTATCGTGGGAGGGGCCTGTCTGTGTGATGTCACACAGACAGGCATCTGAGATTGGCTCGATTTGAGAAAGGGGAAAACTTTTAACGAGATTTAAAAAAAAAAAACACTGGATGGATTTTTATCATTACAGGGTGGTTGTGTACGCACACTGTCAACACACATTTCAGTTCAAACAACTTGTAAAAGTGCATGTAGCATCCTATGACCCCTTTAAAATAGTCCATGTGACATCAATGGTTCAACCTCAACATAGAAGAGAAGAATCATTGAATAAAGTCGTTATTTTTGTTTTCTTTGCACACAAAAAATATTCTCGTAGCTTTATAAAACTGAGGTTGAACCACTGACGTCACATGGACTATTTAAACAATGTCCTTACTACCTTTCTGGGCCTTGAACGTGGTAGTTATGTTACTGTCTATGGAGGGTCAGAAAGCTCTCAGATTTCATCAAAACTATCTTAATTTGTGTTCTGAAGATGAATGAAGGTCTTACGGGTTTGGAACGACATGAGGGTGAGTAATTAATGACAGAATTTAAATTTTTTTGGGTGAACTATCCCTTTAAGGTAAAGAAACTAAGACACTGTTTATGCTTGTCTATGCACTTTTGAGTCAAATGTGTCCAAACATTTGAATCATATACTGAATGATTACTGTGCTCGTATACAGTACCATGATATTTACATGGTACTTTAGAAAATATCATGGTACTACCGTGATGCAATGACAGATACAATTTTGCCAACTATTTAAAGAACTAACCACAAGTTGTGTGCCTTATTTTCTTTGAGTAATAATTTTTTAATTTTTCTAATAATTTAAACATTTTAAGTTTTTTATTAAATTGTCATCAAAAGGATAGTCTACCCACAAATGAAAATTCTGTCATCATTTACTCACCCTCGTGTCGTTCCAATCCTGTATGACTTTGTCTTCTATGGAACATAATGGACTTTTTTCACACACTGTGATGACTTGTTTCCACATTTATTGTCGTCATAAATCTAGCAAAGTTTTTTTTACATTCTCATTTTTAAAAATGTAATGTACATTTATAACACACTTTGTTTCATTACCTTGGCATTTGATTACAGAAAACTTCTGCGCAGTTACAGTAGTTGCGGGAGTGACAGCAAATTTTACATCTTTCCCTCTTCCAGTTAAGACATAATCAATCTTGCAATATTTTTTTTTTCTCTTTTGAAGAGCATACAGAAATGCTATTACAGATTTTTTTTCTTTTGCTATTGGAGTAAATGGAAATGCAAGAATTATATTTGTTATAGATTCTGTTCACCACTGTTACCCGTAAGTGTCCATAGAAGATATTTTGTTTTGGTTCCAGTGGATTTCGATTTTAGTTTTTGTCCACATAATGGAATTCAATGGGAACAGAAACTGTTTGGTTAACATTATTTGAAATATCTACTTTTATGTTCCACAGAAGAAACAAAGTCACAAAGTTTGGGATGATGTGAGGATTAGTAAATGATGACAGAAATTTCATTTTTGGATGGATTTATCCCTTCAACTAGATTAGGGGTAGGCAAGTTCGGTCCTAGAGAGCCGTAGTCCTGCAGAGTTCAGCTCCAACCCTGAAAACAAAACTAACCTGCCTACAGCCTTAGTAATCCTGAAGACATTGATTAACTTGTTCAGGTGTGTTTGATTAGGGTTGGAGCTGAACTCTGCAGAACTGCGGCTCTCTAGGACCGAACTTGCCTACCCCTGAACTAGATGAAAAAAATATTGACAATATTGAAAACACAGAGTTGACTTCAGAAGGTTTGGGGAGCCAATAAGGATAGCTAATGATCATTTTCCAAAAAGCAGAGATCTGACCATGATGGTTGGTTTCTCTAACCTTGTCTCTGATGCCCTGTCTTATGGCTTCCCGCTCTGCTTCCATCTTGGCGTGTTTGTCCTTCCTCTCATCCTCTTCCTGTCTCAGAGCTTCCTGTCTCTCTTCTTCCTTCTCTTTTTCTGCTTCAGGATCTTTATCCTCATCTCCTCCCAACATTTTGCCAACATCAGGGGGGCCTCCTGCAAACACATAAGAGATTCTATAAAGAATATAAATGACAAACAACTTTTTGTGTTTTTTAAATGATGACTGGATGCAACTAGAAAAACGATGTGCAATTGCACTATTTATATTACCTGTTCGTACAACAGATAAGGCCTAGATATTTCCAAATAGCTTAATAGATATTAAGCTAGATATTTCCAAATTAAAAAGCGAACATGTAAGTGAATACTATTTATAGTGTATATTAGACAATATGCTGAGACTTGATGTAAAGCTGATATGATAAACCTAATTATACAAGAAAATGGCATAAATACACTACCATTCAAAATTGGTAAGTTTTTTTTTCTCTTATGCCTACCACATTTTTTTAAAATTAAAAAGTCAATGATAAAAAGAGATATATAGTAAAATAATTGTTTTCTATTTGAATGTATTTTAAAATGTAATTTATTTCTGTGATGTAAAGCTGAATTTTCAGCCTCATTACTTCAGTCTTCTGTGTCACATGATCCTTCAGAAATCATTCCAATATGCTGATTCAAGAAACAATTCTTATGTTTATCAATATATTTTTGCGGAAACCGTAATGCATGGTTTATTTGATGAATAGAAAGCTCTTTTGGTTAAATTAACTTTTGATCAAATTAATGAATCCTTGCTGATTAAAAGTATTGATTTAAAAAAAAAAATCTCCCAAGCCTTTGAATTTTAATGTATTTGGTAGTAATGAAATTTCATTGGTTTTCTATAAACTAAAAAACACTATCCCAGTTTATCTGCAAAAACTGATGACAGGTTAGTACAAAAGTCAAAAAAGACCAACCAACTCAGCAAAACAAAGTTAACTTCTAAATAATAAATTCACCACAGCAGGTAAAGACACCTGGAGGCACCCAAACACATTCCAGAGCATCTGAGAAAAATATCAGTTGACGAATCTATCCAACCACTGAAAGAAGTCCTGTTCACTGGATTAAACGGAGCATCCTAGCAGGAACAGGAATAATTCATGGGTTGGTCACAGTCCCGGTGAGGCCACACCATGCCTCAACACACTTCCAAAAATAAACCGAGGGAATGTCACTTTGTAAAAGTCCTGGCCACCATCCTCATGCCTCTAGTAGTACACAGAGGACATCACATTCAGATCTCCCAAGCACAGTCTGGAAAGTGAAACGAGGATATATGCGACAATAATCTGGCTTTGTGTGGTATGTGCTACATATCAATTTCTGTGGTCTGGCTCTCACCACCCACTGAAACACAAACTTTACATCATCAGAACATTACACCACAAGGCAAAGAATGTACTAACAAGTGCAATATCAAGGAGAAAACTCATCAAGAATGCTCTGAAAGCCTGTGGCTATGCAGAACGGGCCTTTGTTAAAAGCCATGATGTCCAGCAAAAACACATAGAAACAGAAAAACATTGTTACACTGTATGTGGACGAATTGGCTCAAATGATTATTGACCCAATTACGTAACACTTTATAATAATAAATCATTAACAAAAATCAATGCTCTGTGATTTAAATGTTTAATTAATGTGGTCATGGACTTCTTGAAAATCTACAGATGATTTTAACAGATGTTCTACAATTTTTAAAAGCTTGTTAATGTACAACGCTTTTGCTGCTATGTGATACGGGTTTGGTGGTATGGGTAGGTTTAAGGGTTGGTTAAAAGGTCAGACGTTTATATTACTGTTTATAATACATTGTTTATATTACAGTGGGATGTGTTAAGAAATGAACAAGTTCTTTTAAAAAAAATTATGTTTCTCCTGTGTCAAGGAATGTCCTGTTTAATGATATACAGTAGGCTACTACACTAATTTGAGGCAATATAAAGCACCCAAATTACAATGTGTAATTTAAACAAATGTTGTTACAACAGCTAAAAGTCCAGTGCCCATAAAGGTACTGAATGATTAGTAAACATTTATAAACAATGATGAATAGTTTCCACTTCAGATTAAAAAAAAAATTATGTTTCTCCTGTGTCAAGGAATGTCCTGTTTAATGATATACAGTAGGCTACTACACTAATTTGAGGCAATATAAAGTTTTGCACCCAAATTACAATGTGTAATTTAAACAAATGTTGTTACAACAGCTAAAAGTCCAGTGCCCATAAAGGTACTGAATGATTAGTAAACATTTATAAACAATGATGAATAGTTTCCACTTCAGATTAGGTACTGCAAAAACATGAACAAATGATTTGTAAAGATGCGTAAATAGGGTGAATTCCAGACTTTTTTTGGGCATTTCGATGACTGCTCATAAAGGTATTAATGTTTGGTAAACATTTATAAACATTTACAAATGATGAATAGTTTCCACCAGATTGGGTATTGCAAAAATATGAACATATAATTAATGAATGATCTTTAAGATGTGTAAATAGTAGAAGTCTACACAACAAACAAAGATCAAATATATGACCTTTACAGACTGTGATTATGAGTTAATGAATATGTTAACATGAATATTGCTTAAAATGACTAATTAAGCTAATTTTTTCACAGCATTTGTGTATGTAAAAAAGAGCATTAGGTAATATATGAACTAAGGTTTAGTTACATTTGTTAGCATTCAAAAGTACATTAATAAATAAGCTTTTAATAATTGTATAATTTCTGAATATCTGTGACCCTGGACCACAAAACCAGTCATAAGTAGCACGGGTATATTTGTAGCAATAGCCAAAAATACATTGTGGGACAAAATGATCGATTTTTCTTTTATGGCAATAATCATTAGGATATTAAGAAAAGATCATGTTCTATAAAGATATTTTGCAAATATCCTACCAAAAATATATCAAAACTTAATTTTTGATTAGTAATATGCATTGCTAAGAACTTCACGTGGACAACTTTAAAGGCGATTTTCTCAATATTTCGAGTTTTCAAAGTAAATTTCAAAGATTCATATTTTTAAATAGTTGTCTCTCAGCCAAATACTGTCCCATTCTAACAAACCATACATCAATGGAAAGCTTATTTATTCAGCTTTCAGGTTTAAAAATATTGACTCTTTGTGGTCCAGGGTCACATATTTTAAAAAGTGCATGATTGTATGAGTTGGCATTTGTAAGCATGTATCCCTAATAGGTGTGATATTTGTATGTTGTGTGTATATGTATATTGTGCCTCTCAGTGATGCTCTTGAGTGCCTGTTTATTTTTCAGTGTACATTGTTGTATGCATATGGAAACCATGTTTTTGAGTCCTGTGAGTGAATATGGAGCATATTGAATCCATAATTGATCCTTGAATTTTAGCTTAAAAGAGAGTATGGAAAAAATGAGCAACAGCAACAGACATGGTGAAACACAAAAATTTACCAAGCTGGTTAACATATGGTGTTGCATGTGCTCCCTTTCCGCTTTTGTACCTCTCAACAGATGGCATCAAAATGGTTCTCTGTCTGAAACGTTAAACCAAAGCTGCTCATTTTTTCGAGTCTATGATTGAAGAATCGCTGTCACTAATGTATCAACATAAGTCTTGTGTTTTGAAATATCTATTTTTGGGACGGTTAGGACAGCTGGTGCTCTTCACACTGTCCTCTGCTTCAGTCAGCTGCTCTGTGGCCCTGGTCCAGCGGTGACATCAGCTTTTCTACTTTAAACACACTCGGGCTCGAGTCTGAAAGCGCTGAAGCAAATATTTGAACTGCATGGCCATTTGGGCATCCACATCACAGGACCACACCACATCACTACACACAAACAAGCTTTCACATAACAGCATAGTGAAGGTGAGAGATGGTCCATTATTATATGAATATTGCACAAATATACTGTGGTGGCGCCACTGGCCTAAATGATAACAAATATAATCATGCACCATGGTATTTATGTGGTACTGCATGGTATTTCAAAGAATTCCATGGCATGTTCCACAAATAGGGTGCAATTTGGTTTTCCAATATATATTTTTGTCCCCAAGAATTAGAGACACGTATGTTTTGTGTTGTGAGACTTATTAGACATGTTTGCTAAACTATTATATTACATAAAATTAATCTAACATTAAAACTAGCAAGGCCTGTCTCATCTCAGAGACCTTGACCCTTTGGATTGAACTATTAAATACAGTAATGTCATAATTTTGGCAAACTGTTGAGTTTATTGTTCATTGTAGTAAAACTAAAAGTGTTGTAAATCAAAATTTAACAAACAAAACAAAAAAAAAACGGAATTTGTAGCTGTTACGCAATGCAACCCTATTACCACATGCCTTTCCCCATTACAACATTACTTTAAAATTGGTGACTCAGGAAGTGGATATTTTCTATGCCATGACAAATAATAAACGAATAAAATGACAAACAAATAATATCATCTAAATTGTCTTAATTTTTTTGTCGTGGTACTCTCCATAACGGGGCTAGATGGTAACTCTGGGGAGAAGAATTGTAGAATAAAGTCGTTATTTTTGTTTTTGTTTTTTCGCACAAAAGGTATTCTCGTAGCTTCATAAACTTACGGTTCAACCACTGTTACATGGACTATTTTGTCAATGTTCTTGGTACCTTTCTGGGCTTTGAACTTGGTAGGACCCTGATGTCTATGGAGGGCCAGAAAGCTCTTGAATGAAGGTCTTTGGAATGACATGAAGGTGGGTAATTAATGACAGAATTTTCATCACTATCCCTTTCACCACTCAACTCTGTTACCCAAGAGAAAAGCACCTGGTCCTGAATTTGCAAAAAAAATTGTAAACCTGTTATCCATATGCCATAGTATGTCATAGTTCATTGTAATTTTATTACATTTTATCTAATAAATTTTTTATAATTACTGCTCATACTGCTCAATATTCAGTCCTGGGCTGCTGAATCAGATTGATTTTGTAATGATCAAATGACATGGAAGTCTGGAGTAATGGATACAAAAAATTAAGTTTTGCCATTGCAGGATTTAATTCAAATATATACTACAATAGAAAACAGTAGTTTTACAGCGTTACTGTTTTTATTTGGCGAGCATATAA